ACCAAAACTAAATTTGCTCTAACTTTCGACTAGCTTCTAAACTACTCAATTATTGATAAAATAAAACCTTTAACAAAATTACAAACAACCTTTGCACAACAATTTTATAATCTACTCAAAAAAAATCTCTATAACTTTTATCTAGGTTTAATTCTCAAAACAGTATCCTTAAACAAACAACTTTTCAAAGCAAGCTTTTATTATATTATCAGCTATATGGCAAGTAAAAGACTAGACTTTTTGACTAACTATGTCTATCAAATTAACTTTTCTATTGACAAACAAGCAACTAATCTATTTAATATTCTTGAAGATACTTTAAAAAAATTATTTTAAAATTTACTACTATTTTGTTTACTAAACTTAACTACTTAGAGATATTCATTTCATTTGCAACTATTCTCTTATATAAACCAGAAAATCACCTTCAATTTTGTTTTATTTAGACTACTTCAAAAAATGCTTTAAAGAATTTTTTTCAATTTATAATTGCCAATCAAAACATCACTTATAAAAGATAATCTAGAATTATACTCAAATTTCAAATCTGTCAATACTTTATTTCTCAATTTAAAAAACTTCTTCTCCCAATACTTGACAACTTTATAAGACCTCATTGCTATAAAGATTATTGCAATAAAATTTTTCAATATATTAACTACCATAACTTGCAAAAACACAAACTATAACTATGTTAGTGAATACAAATATAATATAGCTTAAATATTCAAAAATCTCTTATAAAAAATATTCTAAAAAAATTAAATTAATCTTAATACAACTATCTTTTATATAGATATCAATTATGAAGCCACTTCTCTAAACCTATTTTAACCAAATATTTAGATAAACTAGCAAACAAGAAAAAAAAAGAATACTGTAATAATAATATCTTAAGTACAAATACACTCTATTTCATTAAGAGTAGAAGAAGTGATAAATAGTTTTCCGTATCAAACAATATGTTAAAACTTTTACCAGAACCAAAAGATTTGGAAATTTCATATGATCAAGAGTTTATTTATAAATCTTGTGCTACTGAACAAAACCCTGTTATAAAAGATAATATAAAATATTTTTGGCTTTGTATTAAAAAAATAAATAGTATAGAAACTTCAAAAGAAAAAATAATTAAATACAGTGGAATAGTTCATTAAAAATTAAAGAAAAATTTTCCAATAACTTGATTAATTCATCTGATGATGCTAAAATTCAAATTCATGCATCTGCAAAGGCAATAGAACATGACTTGATATTAGACAGCAAAATTAAAACTTCATATTCTGATGATCCTAATTCTTATCTTTTGCAGTATACTGCGCTTCAAAAGGTTAGGCACAAAAGCAATTGTAATAGGATTATTGCAATATACAATGCACCAAGTAAAGGTCTTATGAGATTCAAATTATAAGTGGGTATAATTATTATAGTGATGAAAATGTTATAATGTCTGTCAAGGTGAATAGTGAGGATGGAGAAGATAAAGTAAAAA